ATATATGAATACGATTTGATACCACTCAACGATTTCATATTAATTTGGCAACCATGCAAAATTTTAATATGACATAGAGCCCGATCTTGACAAAGTCGCTAGAAATAGTTCACCCGACCCCCCGCACCAGGGACGGCAAGATCTGTGCTGATAAATATCTTGGTACTTCTTTTATTGAAAAGAAATAAATCTGGATTATTTAATTCTAATGTTTCTACGAATGATCAATCCATTCTTTGTCCTCGTGATATCAATATCTACCAGAATATTGTTGCTGAAATTGCCTTTTTACGCTTCCAATCAATGTCATTTTAGATTTGTTAAACAGGTAACAAAACCACTCCTCACTCAAATAATAATAATAATAATAATAATAATAATAATAATAATAATAATACATAAGACTACTCTGCTGTGAATTATCAAAATCTGGATACGTAACAATTAACGCACTATTCATGGAAGTTACTTCTCTCAATTCAAAGTCTATGAAAATGAATTAATAATGATAATCAGCTTGGAAATTTTGAAATCAAATCATTTTTTTAATATAAATTATATGTGCTATGCTTTTTGTCAATCGGCATGTTAAGATACCAAAAACAGTTTATAATTTCCCCCTTGTGCAGGTCCAGGAGATTTGGCAATTGAGAAAGGAAGATCCACATATAAATAAACATTTTCAATTTCTTCCGCCCATAGTTCAGAAGAGGCAGTTTTACTTTAAGGAGGATGGAAAGACGTAGCTAGTCAAAATTTCCATCACCTCTGCCATCACTGAGTCTGAGACCGGGCAACTTTGCGTGACTAAATTGGTTAAGTACACTGAGGTCCTGGGAACGGTCTCCCGAGTTCTCCCCCTTGCCAGAGCAAACGGTAAATAAAAGAGCAGCGGAACAGATGCGTTCTCTGCCCAGAGTTGGAAGAAGCCATTTGTGTAATTACACTTACGGAGACCCATTACGCAATGAAGAGTTTAATTAGTTCAACAACTTGGTAAATGAAAGTCATGTCTTGACGTATTCGTATCCTTTTGTGTGCCAATAGCTACATATGGCTCTGACTAGTAATTGTCATAAGTCGTTAAGAAAGAAATGAACTTTCTAGGCCGGGTATCATTTGACGAACAAAAACATCGCAATATAAATACTTTATACGAGTGTACTGTGGACTGAAAGATTGGTTAATGATATTCTCAGTTAAATTCTCCTGTCGCTTCGCGACAGTGAAATTATCTCAAGAATGTTCAAAGCACTCGTGCCATTCATTAAGCATATTCCACTTATGACGTCAATTAATTATTTTTTCCTGTCGATAATGGTCATCTTGAGACCACGCGAACCTGCAACTGTACCCATCGAAGTCCAGACATATTTTCCCGGGAGTAAGTTCAAGTAACTACTAACATTTGGGAAATTAGCATTTCCATGCTGAATCCATATTTACACGCACGAGGATTAGCCCTGAGAATGAGGTATGAAAGTGATGATGATGATGATGAAGGATGAATGGACAATTACAAACGTACAGACACACACAAACATTCATGCCCCGGGCGGGATTCGAACCTGCGACACTCCAGGCTCAAGGCAGCTAAGGCTCTTCACCCTTAGCGACTTTCACTATCCGGGCTGGCAATTCATTAATTAATATCGTACATGAAATTTATCGTAACATTTCAATATATGTTCTGTAATATGTAGCTCATGCATATCAATTTGAAACACAAATTCATTTACTTGAATGCACGATTAGAAATCACAATTTCAAAACCTATAACTCACTGGGTGACCTAATTGACAGCTACTGGATAGGAGAGAGAGAGGAGGACCAATACTCCAAAAATTAGTCTTAAAATCATTGCTTGCTGTGATGGCAGCGTTTACCTAATGCGATATCCCGACTGGTCTTCCGGCAGGTGTGGTAGTGTTGTGCATGTGTGCGTGTGCGTGTGCGTGTGCGTGTGCGTGTCGTGTGCGTGTGCGTGTGCGTGTGTGTGTGTGTGCGTGTGTGTGTGCGCGCGTGCGCGTGTGTGTAAGCAAGGGCCAGGGAAGGACAAGGATGAAGAAGGAGAGATCGCGCGCGGCTTATGGTCTGTTAGGGTACTGCTCCGGAATTTGGTTGCTGTTGATCGGACAAACCATGGAAAACAACTGATCGGAGCACTCGACCACTAGAATTCTCCCACAGACATCGGTTGAATTTGACGAAGCTATGTAGCTAGTGTCTAGAATTCTACCACCGTGTGGATTCCCGGTGTCTATAATTCTATCATCGTGGGATCTCCCGGTCCGAGGCACTGCAGTGACATCAATTCGATGCTCTGAGCCACCTAAGCCGGTATAAACTTATGAAATGCTTTAATTATTTGGAAGAGCAAAACGAAAAAGTGGTGGCGTTGCCAACGATGGTCGGAGCTACTAGCAATACATAATGCAATTCGTGAAGGGAGATCGGGTCGGCTATAAAAGATTTGGAATTGAATAACATTGTAAACCGCCGATTAACGTATACATGGATAGCAAATAAGTTAAAATAGATTGGTCGATTAATTTCAAAATCATAGCGAAGTTTAAGTATATTTTGAAGAAATCGAACTTTGTAATAGATCATGTTAAAAATTGCAAAATCTTACTGAATCACTTAATACAACAGACATAGTAACTACTGTAATGATAAAAGACCTTGGCAAGGGGATTCTGAGAAAACAGTAAAAATCGTTGAGCATGATATATGTATGAGTGAAAATCAGAACGGTATAGCGGTATTTTATAATTTCTGAGAAATCTCTTTAAGTCAATATCACTGTAAACTCGTGGTGCTTTGTTTCATCATTAAAACCATGGCATTTAAATTGTTCAATAAAACCACGAAAATACATTGCCATTGAAACATAGCCTAAAATAAACAAGTTTTCTCAGAATTTTTAAAATATCACTTATATTGTTCTGATTTTCATACATTCATATTAACTTATTTAATATGTAACACATATAATAATACACACGAAAGGTGGGGAAATGTTGACGCACAATGGTCTTGTTCGTGTGATACATAATTACACATGTTTTGTAACGATGTTAGGATGTTACTAAGTGATGTATATTTGTTGATTTTTATAGCCACACTGTTTTTTTAATAGTGTTTTTTTAACTAATGCTAAACAAATGAATATGCATATCTTCAGTAGCCAATCCTTTCCAAATCCTGAGCTAAAGTTACAAATCCGTAATGGAAAACGAAAACATTTTTCATAAAAAAGAGGACACTTCATATAAAATGTTTTAATGCAATAATTTATTCTTCTGAAGGACAAAATACCTACTACTGACAAAATAAATACTTCAATCATTGTCATCACTTTCACAATCACACAATAGGCCTACTTCATTATCATTATTGTCTTTTCCCCTTACAACAAACACTTTGAACAATTAAGTATGTCATTAAACAAGGTTTTCCTTGTCATCCTACTCGAAATATACACATCACAGGGGTGTATTGACTGCACATGCACAGAATCTATAACCAACATCATCATACAATACATTGTAATAGTTGATGACAGTATTGTCGTATTTCACAAGGAAAAGGACGTAAATGCGGATATATATGATCTATGGATTTTTTGCCGTTGTTAGACGAGTTATTTGAAGATAAATATCTTTTATTTATACAACAATGAAATGTTACCATATCGGGGACTCTGAAACAATTGAAAAAAGCGCAGTGCGCCTTCCTACATCATGTATCTAACTGCATTTCAAAATAGTACCCCCTTTCCGAAAAAAGAGGACATTTTGTTCTTTCTTGTAAAATCCACCCGGATTGTTTTTCTAACCTTGAGGGCGTATGGTAACCCCCGCAGCATAGAAGCCCAGATTTGAAGAGACAAGTGCTCCATGGAGTGCAGAGCGTAAACGCGGAAGCGCGTGCGCGGCGCCTATCGCAGGATGCCGCGCCGCAGCCTCCGCCTGACATCCTGCGCCTGTATCTCAGCGCAGCCAGCGCAGCCCCCGGGCGATAGACGCTTCCGCGCGCCCGCCCCCGCACCACCCCCCGCCCCCT